TTTTTTAAATATTTATTTATTAATTATGTAATTACAATAGTCTGTCTGTGTGTATGCCTGCAAGCCAGAAGAGGGCACCAGACCTCATTACAGATGGTTGTGAGCCACCATGTGGTTGCTGGGAATTGAACTCAGGACCTTTGGAAGAGCAGGCAGTGCTCTTAACCGCTGAGCCATCTCTCCAGCCCTCACACAATACTCTTTCACAACTGTTGTGCTTGTTATTTCCCCCAGGCCTAGGATGCCCCCCCCTTTTTTTTTTTTTTTTTTGGCTGAAATGGGCTAATTAGAAAGCTGTTAATATCCAGAGAATAAATGCAAGCTCTCTATCATTAAATAAAAGTGTAATCTAAAAATATATATAAAAGTGTAGAGGAGTGGTGGCTGTGAAGAGAAGGTTCCAAGTGAACAAAATTCTGTTCATCAGAAATATGACTTTATAGCCACATTTCACAGGCATGATGGCACAAGCTTATATTCTCAGCAGTACAGGTAGAGCAGGGACAGGAAGTTTAGGAATTTGATGTCTTCCTTAGTCACATAACAAGCTTAAAACCAATCTGGGCTACATTTTATGCCTTTAAAAGAAAAAACAGTAGCAGATGTGGTGGTGCACACCTTTAATCCCAACACTTCAGAAACAGAGCAGGTAGATCTCTGTGAATTCAGGGCCAGCCAGAGCTACATAGCAAAAAGAAAAAAGTACAGAATTAACAATGTCAAGCCGGACTGTGGTGGCACACACCTTTAATCCCAGCACTTGATTGGCAGAAGCAGATGGATCTCTGTGAATTCAAGGCCAGCCTGGTCTACAGAGCAAGTTTTAGGATAGCCAGGGCTACACAGAAAAACCCTGTCTCAAAAAAAAAATTAATAATGTCAATGAACATAATTATGTTACTTTTTAAAGATATTTATTTACTATTTTATGTGTATTAATGCTTTGCCTGCATGTATATGTGTACTGCATGCCCAACAAGATCATAAGAAGCCACTGGATTCCCTGGAATTACAATTACAAATGATTGCGTACTAGCAATCAAACCCAGGTTCTCTGTAAGTACAACAAGTGCCTAAACTACTGAGCCAACTCTCCAGCACAATTTCACCTTCTGATTCAAGTCCCTGAAAACCATTTTCTTTTTCTCTACAAATAGAGCCTGGCCTTTCAACCTCAGATATTCTGTCTTGGATTAAACAAGAAGAAGAGCCTCAGGTTGGAGTCCCCCAGGAGTCCAAAGAGAGTGACCTGTACAAAGGCTCCTATGCCGGTGAGTAACCGAGGGAACAGATGTTCAGATTCTGCTCACACTAGCAGTGACTAAAGAACGTAGCCGAAAGGGTGCTAGAAAGACAAGGAACAGTCAGGAAGAAAAGGAAGGCAATGGTCAGCCAAGTTAGAGAGGAAACCAAAGGCCACCAAGATAAATTTTAAGTAGGAAAGCACAATTTTTAAAAATGTATTTATTAGTGTGAGGAGGCACATGCAGAAAGTCAAGGATAACTTGTGAGAGTTGGTTCCCTTCTTCTAATACGTGGGTCCCAGAAATTGAATGCAGGCTGTCAGGTTTGATGGTGAATACATTTACCCACTGAGTCATTTTATCAGCCCAGAAAACATACTCTTAAATGCAGATTAGCATTGTTGGGGCTGTGTATGTCAGTGATAAAAACAGAGCCCTAGTTTCAGTCTTTAGTACTGTATTTTAAAAAGAAAAACAGGACTGTTAGAGGAAGAACAATAAATGTATACAAATGAATAAAAATATGGGAATTGGAAAAATAGAGCATTTGAAGATCTCTTAGAAAGGATGGACAGAATGACCAAAGACATAAAGGTGGGAATGTGTTCTATTGCAGGGAAGTCAAGGAGGGGTTTCTCTCACAGAACGTACACTAAAATTAAAGAGGAGATTTTAGGCCCTATCACACCAGGCAATGGAGAAAGTTACTGATATATGTGGGGAAGACTGATGCCAAGGTTATTCCTTTTCAAAATGGAGCACCAACGTACAGTCTTGTATGTGTGATGTAACAGGGGCCTTGTTAGCAATGAGAGCCCCTCCTGAGTTTACTGAGCAGTGAGCTCCTAGAGCAGCCTGAGCTGTTGGAGTGTGAGAGGCAGTGGTGAGATAACTCTGACCCCTTCTTTCAGACCAAGAACTTGTCATCAAAGCTGAAGACCTGGCCAGAGCCTCCTTGTGTCCTGAAGTTCCCGTAGCCTTCTCTGCCCCGCCACCACCAGCAGCCAAGGATGCTTTTGCAGATGTAGCTTTCAAAAGCCAGCAGTGTACTCCCATGACACCTTTTGGACGCACAGCCACTGACCTGCCTGAGGCCTCAGAGGGACAAGTGACCTTTACTCAGTTAGGAAGCTACCCACTCCCACCTCCAGTTGGAGAGCAGGTGTTCTCAGGCCACCATTGTGGCAAGAGTCTCAACCAAGACATGTTAATGACACATCAATGTAGCCACACTGCTGAGCACCCCTTAACCTGTGCCCAGTGTCCCAAGCACTTTGCCCCACAGGTGGACCTCGGTAGCACCTCTCAGGACCATGCCAGTGAAACACCACCCACCTGTCCTCACTGCGCCCGGACCTTCACTCACCCCTCACGACTCACGTACCATCTTCGGGTCCACAACAGCACTGAGCGCCCCTTCCTCTGTCCTGATTGTCCCAAGCGCTTCGCTGACCAGGCTCGACTCACCAGCCATCGGCGCGCTCATGCAAGTGAGAGGCCTTTCCGTTGCCCACAGTGTGGTCGTAGCTTTAGCCTGAAAATCAGTCTCCTGCTGCACCAGAGGGGACATGCGCAGGAGCGCCCCTTCTCTTGTCCTCAGTGTGGCATTGACTTCAATGGCCATTCTGCACTGATTCGTCACCAGATGATCCACACAGGCGAACGGCCCTACCCGTGTACAGACTGTAGCAAGAGCTTCATGCGTAAGGAACACTTGCTAAACCACCGGAGGCTGCACACAGGTGAGAGGCCTTTCCAATGTCCGCACTGTGGCAAGAGCTTCATCCGCAAACACCACCTCATAAAGCATCAGCGCATCCACACGGGCGAGCGGCCCTACCCCTGTGCCCTGTGTGGAAGGAGCTTCCGCTACAAGCAGACACTCAAGGACCACCTGCGGACAGGTCACAGTGGAGGCTGTGCAGGTGATAGGGACCCTTCTGCACAGCCATCAGACCCACCTGGTCCACTCTTAACTGCCCTGGAATCCTCTGGTCTAGGTGTTAGCACTGAAGGTCCAGAGTCTAGTCAGTGGTATGGGGAAGGGGATGGAGGCGTGGTTTTGTAGATCTGTGGCCCATTGGTTATTTATGTTCACTGCAGAGCAGAAGGTCCAGGAGAAAGCCTACAAGCTCCACAACCCATAGTAATTATTGTCTGTTACATAAAGGAATTTGGGGGTCTACACTCAACTAGAGACATGCTTGTGCAAGTCCACAACAGTACAAGAATACCATATTTTGAAAACTGGAAGAGAGTCCAGCATCCATGTCTTTTCATATACCACAAATGCAGAGTTTGGGCAGCAAGATTTATCTTCTGATCATTCTGTCAGGATAGCAGAGAGTAGACTGCCTCTAGATTGAGACGAGCTGGAAAGAGCCCCCAAACCTCAAAGCCATCTTTCTCTAATTCTTCAGTGATGAGGTGACTGTTGGGGGAATGTGCTTTAGCTGCCTGTTAGGTGCTCTCTTCATACCTGTATAGTCACCTTTCCCTGAAACATGGTGACTGGGGCTGCCTTCCTAGGCCTAGATTCTGTTGGCTAATACATTTTGTTTAATGTTGGCGAAAAAGAAATCTGACTTTAATAGCTTATTAAGGGGACAGTTCCTAGCTTTCACTAGCTTGATTTGAAACATTCAGACTCTTGTAGCAGCTTTTAAAGAGGACAGAGAACTTTGCCACAGACCTGGTTAGAAATTGAGGACAGTTCTCTCTTCAGGTTTAAGAGCTAAAGATTCCAGAGATCTCAGGCACAACAGCGATAGCATGGCCTAAAAATCTGCCTGAATCATGAATTTAGAGTCATTTATATCTACGTATCCCTTCTCTTTTCCAAGCAGGCGATCATGTTTTTCCATTTCTGTTGTTTGATTTTCTTTCTCTCTCTCTCTCTTGAGACGGGGTCTTACTATATACCTGGCCTGGAATTTACGTCATAGACCAGTCTAGCCTTGAACTCATAGAGCTCTGCCTGCCCCTGCCTCTTGTTCTGGGTGCACCACCATGCCCAACCTGATTTTCTTGACAAGGCTCACAGCACTTCAGGAAGTGCTTTTGTTCCTTCAGTAGTGTGACAATAGTGCTGTAACGTGATGCTCTTGAGAGGATGGCTTTCCCGCCTGTCCTACCTCACTGGTCATGAACAGAGTGAGGCTTCTCTTCAGTCCTGAGAGTGAGACATCATATCTGTCCGACCTGTCATGCTGTTTTTTAGACAGGGCTTCACTGTGTAGCCAGGCTGGAACTCGGAGATCTGCCTGTCTCCACATCTAGAGTGCTAAGATTAAAAGCATGTACTATCATGCTTAGCCATCTGTTGTACTTTGAGGTATCATGGCTACCATGCCTTCTTTTCTTGGCCCCTCTTAGTCATCTAAAAGCATCTGAACCTAGTTCTGTTCCTAAATGTTCATGCAACCAGGTGTGTGTCCTCTTCCGTTTTCAGCTCTCACATTTTATCACTGTAATGAAGCTGTCAAAAGGTGAGTGTAAGCCACGCAATGGTGGCGCTCACCTTTAATCCCAGTATCCGGGAGGCAAGACAGGCAGATGTCTGTGAGTTTGAGGCCAGCCTGGTCTACAAGAGCTAGTTCCAGGACAGGCTCCAAAGCCGTAGAGAAACCCTGTGTCAAACAAACAAACAAACAAAAAACAAAACAAAACAAAAAGTGAATGTACTGGTAAAAATAAAAAGCCACAGATCCCCAAGTGGCGGCAGCAGGCACGAGACCACAGCAGCCCACAGCAGCGGGCCACAAAGGCAGCCAGATCCCAGGCAAGGAGCCACATGGTGGGTGAGAGACTGAGATGGATACACATACTGTGCAGAGTGAGGTTGGATATTTATTTAGTGGGTTATGGAAGGGAAGGGAAAGAGAAGAAGGGGAAAGAGCTGAGAGAGAAAGAGGAAAGAAGCAGAGGGGAGAATGGAGCTGCCTCTTTGGGAGAGAGATGGGAGGAAGGGCTCAGACTGGAAACAGAAGGAAGATTGGCCTGCCTCAAAAGTGGACAGGGGAGGGGGTGGGTGAGGCTTGTTTCTTAAAGGGGGACTGGACAGACCATTACAGTGAGCCTCTAGAAACTTTTTACAAAGAAGAATCTTGTGATAAAGTTCTCCTCTGCCAAAATTCTGTTCTTCATTTGGCTTCTGTCCAGACAAAGCCAAATAAGGCAAGAAAACCAAAGCAGAGAAACTCATGTAGAAACTTGGTGGAAATCAGCTTGTCTTGTGTTTTGCTCTTAGTGGGTCCTAAAGTAGAAGATGGAGAATGTAGAAACCACCTATTTGGGACAGGAAGCTGTTTATTCCCACACCCCTCATTCCCCCAGAGTCCTCTATGATGTCTAGAATGAGATCTAGAGCTGTCCAGACAGAATACTTTCTGGATAAGGAAGGGAATGCTTTCTCCTTGTTACTAGGCCCTGCAATCACAGTCGGGAATGGTGTTTACCTAGGTACTGTACTCCTGGCAAAGTTCTGCCTGAACATGCTACTCTTCAGGATAATCACATATATAAAACATTGTTTTGTGACAATAATACCAAGGATCCCAGGAGACATAAATGTGTGTGAAACCTGGTTTGCTGTCATAACTTTCAGCCTGTAGGCAGTGAAAATCTCCCAGGGATAGACAAGAAAGATGATGGCAGTACTGTGGTCTATTGGGAAAAAGAGCCAGAATCTGGACCATCCCACAGGAAAACTCGGAAATCCTGAAATCCCCTAATCAGGTTCCAGCTTCAGTAATGACTCACTAGGGACCTGACTATGTGGTTTACACCTGAAAAAGAAGGAATCAAGGCATTCTCAGGGTCAGGGAAGTGTTTGCTAGAGCTGAAGAGGAGATGCTTGCTGAGACTGCTGTGGGGGCTGGACAACATCTAAAGTTCATCTGAACTCAGCAGATTTACCAAGGACACAAAAGCCAATGGGAGGTCTGTGTACCAGAGTGCTGCCAGTGGACCCCAGTGCCTGTTCTGTTAGGCGCTGTAGCCAGCAGGGATCTAAACTGGCCAAAAGAGAATAGCGTTCCAATACCAGCCAAACATTGGAAGCATGTGGAATCAATCCCAATCCTTAATCTGGCTCAAAGTAGGATCTTCAGCTATTGGTTTTTTGTTTTTAGAGACAGAGCTTCTCTGTGTAACAGTCCTGACTGTCCTGGACTTCATTCTGCAGACCAGACTGGCCTAGAACTCACAGAGATCTGCCTGTCTCTGCCTCCCAAGTGCTGGGATTAAAGGTGCTCCACCACTACCCGCAACTTCAGATACTGTATAGTCAATTCTTTCCATTCACCAATCTCCTCTCTAGTAGAACTCATCTGTCAACAATTCAAATGTAGCTCATTGGAAAATGTAAAGTCCAACAACTTTTCAGCAACTAGAATCTCTGTCTACCTGGTGTCTTGAGAGAAACTGTACATTTAACTCTACAACTAAAGAGATCTAGTGCTCATGTGACAGCTCGTGACTGTAGGGAAGAGGAAACCCCAAAAGTGTCCCCTGGATGATGGCGCAGCTCTTCCTCAGAGCTCATCCAGGAGTTGGCTCTAACAAGATCTCTTTACTTACTAAAGGTTTTTGGTTTGTCAGCACTGGATGAGCCTCTGCTTCAGTCACAGATAAGAAATAAATGTAAGTTGGTTAATTGTTTAGAACGTAGAAGATGATTGATCCCTTCCTATTTGGCATTTGATAATGAAAACACCGTAGTCGTTATCTCCAGGGAGAGCCATGCTCTACATCATTTCTGTCATTAATAAACTCTACAAAATCTTCTCTTGAGATGGCATCTATAGCTATCTCAGCCAATCCCCATGGCTTATGAGACAACAAATACTATCTCAGTCTCAAAAAGTCTCACTGAAAGAAAAAAGTACCTAAGTTCCTTTCATTTCAATGGGTTGGAAATCCCAATTTTATGTCATATTTTTTGAGAGGGACAGGTCATCCCTTCCCTCTTCTCATGCCTTAGCTCCTTAGATAACAAAAACACTTGCTGCAGTTGCCTGAGTAGCAATGAGGCATTTTCAGATGAAAACCTGACATTAAGCCGGGCGGTGGTGGCGCACACCTTTAATCCCAGCACTCGGGAGGCAGAGGCAGGCGGATCTCTGTGAGTTTGAGACCAGCCTGGTCTACAGAGCTAGTTCCAGGACAGGCTCCAAAGCCACAGAGAAACCCTGTCTCTAAAAACCAAAAAAAAAAAAAAAAAAAAGAAAGAAAAAAAAAACCTGACATTAATAGATACATATACATATCTAGTTGGATACACACACACACACACACACACACACACACACACACACACATTGGTTTTTTGAGACAGGGTTTCTCTATGTAGCCTTGGCTGTCCTGGAACTTGCTCTGTAGATGAAGCTGACCTTGAACTCAGAGATCCTCCTGCCTCTGCCTCCCAAATTCTTGGGATTAAAGTCATGCACCATTAGATGGATATTTTGGACTGCTCAGCTCACTCTGGTTCTCTGTAGCAAAGGGGCAGTCTCTTACCATATGGGGTGAATACAACAGGCTGTTATTTGGCAAGGTTCAGGTTTCTATAAAGAAGATAATTAGTTCAAAATTAGGCACTGGGGTGATAACTCAATAAAGTGCTTGCTATACAAGCATGAGTACCTGAGTCTAATCCCTCGAACTCATGAAAAAGCTAGAATCAATGCTTGAATCCTAGCACTGGGGAGGTCTTGGCTGGCTTCTTGTCAGTCTAGCCTCATTGGTAAGCCGCAGGTCACTGAGAGACCCTGTCTCAAAGAACAAAGTCAGTGGCTCCTGAACAATGACTCCCAAGGTCCTCTGGTCTCCACACAAGGTCAGAATGATTGCGGGTGGGGTTAAGGAGTGTGTGGGACTTAATGCTCATCACCCTTAGTACAGTATTAATGACTAGGAGCAGAGCTTTTCATGGCAGACCTAGATTCAAGCCTCAAGTAATATAGTATCTTCTGAAGACTTTGTTTCTCTATAAGGTATTGTAATATGTTTTGTGTCTCAGTAGTGTTAGAGCTTAAGAACTCACAACATAACATTTTACAGAACCAGCCTGAAAAAGGTGGTCACAAAGCCAGGCCGAACTAGAAGTGGCAAGTGTTAAGAACCAAGGTTTGGCCAGGTGTGATGGCTCACACCTGTTACTCGAGCACTTGGGAATCTGGGGCAGGAAGATTGCTGAGAATTCAAGGTCAGTCTAGGCTACAGAGGAAAACCCTGTTTTTAAAAAAGAGGGGAGGACAAGAAGGCCCCAGAGAGATAACTGTGTAAGAGCACTGGGTGCTTTTTCAGAGGACTTGTATTTGGTTCCCAGCACCCCCATGGTGGCTATAATTTTAACTCCAGTTTCAAGGGATCTCATGCCTTCTTCTGGCTTCTGCACTCTGCAGACACCAGACATGCATGTGGTGTGTGTGTGTGTGTGTGTGTTTGTGTATGTGTGTGTATGCACATGTAGGCCAAACACTAATACACATAAAAACAAACATTAAAAAAAAAGGCTGCTCCACAGAAGTACAAGACTCCTGGCTGGCTTAGCCTTTTGCTACCATCTTTTTTCATAAATTTAGTATGAACTCTTGCTGATTATTTTCTGTACATACCACCACATAAGTTTCTAATGCCACAACCCCATATGGCTCTGATTCTCTCTCAATTTTTCTTCTTTTTCCTCATCCTTCTCTTTAAAACATTTCTTTAGATTTTATTTTATCTGTCAGTGTTTTGCCAACATGTATGTATGTACATTATGTGCACGCCTTGTTCCCACAGAGGTCAGAAGAGAGTGCCACATTTCCTAAAATTGGAATTATGAATGATTGCAAGCCACTGTGTGGGTGCTGGAAATTGAACCTGGGTTCTCTGCAAGTGCAACAAGTGCTCTAAACCACTGTTTTAAAACAAAGAATTTTAGGGTGGTGGTGGCGCAAACCTTTAATCCCAGCACCTGGAAATGGGTAGGTGGGTCTCTGAGTTCAAGGCTAACCTGGTCAGCAGGGCTAGTTCCAGGACAGCCAAGGCTACACAAAAAATCCCTATCTTAAAAAAAAATTTAAGTGTTCTTTTAAATATTTCTCAGTTTTTCTTTGTTTAGATTCTATAATTAGGAAATCTGGCCCAGGTCTTCCCATGCTTATCCTAACCCAGCAATACAATTCCTCTGGCCCCTGCACCAGCATCTGTGAACCTTGGAAATGTGCTCAGGAATGAAGAATATAGCAGTTCAGTGTTGTGGGGTGGGAGGGTTCTGTTTAATACCTATTGAGGTTTCTTCAACTACTTCTGTTTCACAAACACTATCATAATTCCAATGCATAGTGTCTTTGCTCAAAATACCTGGAAGATGCTGTTTGTCTTGTGAAAGGAGTCATTTGTCACTTGAAATCAAGGAAAGGAGAGGTGTTACCCTGCTCTGACCCTGCTCCTGTTTTGTGTGCTTGTTTATTGAAGACAAAAGTCTCTCAGTGGAACCCATTGCCTCAAACTCACAATCTTGTCTCAGCGTCCCTGGTGAAGGGGTCACAGAGGAGTGCCACCATGCCTGCTCTTCAGTTCCTGCTCTCTGCACTACTTCCTTTTTCTTTTTACTTTTTTGAGACAGGGTTTCATGTATCCCAGGACATCTACAAACTTCGTATGTAGCCTAGATTTCTTTGAACCTCTGATCCTCCTTTCTCTTCTTGGTTTTATGGAGCTAGGGATCAAATCCAGAACTTTGTGCATGTTAGGCAAGCACTCTACCAACTGAGCTACATCCCCAGCCTCTTCTTCATGTTATAGAACTGACCACAGTCACAGACATAGGATGGATTTGGTCAACTTGGTCAATTAAATGTACCCTCCATATCATGCCTAAGACCACACAAGGAAGGCAGAAAAATACAGTCTCATCAGAACAGCCTCAGAAACAGTGATTCTGAAGTTCTGAAGTTACATTCCAAATAAAGGGCTTGATAAAACCTCACTGAACTATGTGAGTTTGTGCTCATTAGTAAAACAGTATTTATTTATTTATTTATTTATTTATTTATTTATTTATTTATTATAAAACCTTGAAATTGTTGTAGGGCTTGAGTTTAGGAGTTATGGTTTAGGAGTTAAGAGCAATTGCTGCTCTTGCAGGGGACCAGAGTTTTGTTCCCAGCATCCATGTTAGATCCTCATAACCACCTGTAACAATAGCGCCCATGCTGCAACTTTTGCAAGGAACTTGTTTGTTCCAAGACAAGGTTTCTCTGGGTAGTCCTGGCACTGGCTCTGTAGACCAGACTGGCTTTGAACTCAGATTCCACCTGCCTCTGCCTCTAGGGTTGTAACACCCGGTTTTGGTGTTACACCCTCGGTACAGTTCGCGCGCAGCTGTACCGACTGCGAGTCCGGGCAAGGGCCTGGAGATTGAACACAAGAGACAGAGACCAGGGTCATTCGATAGGAGATCAAGCGAATGCCCTTTATTCAGACTTGGGGAAGCCCTTTTCTACCTAACTGCAGCACAAAGATCTCTCCGCCCAGGAAGGTGGGAAATTACCATATTAACAATGGAGAAGATTGCCTGCAGCTAAATCACCAGGTGGGGCAGGGATAGCACGGAAACACACAGGAAGCTTAGTTAACTGATAACAAACTGTCCCCGCCAATGCACCCCAGGAATAAGGGAGACCAGGCGCCCACAGGT